TGGCCATTTTGCAAGCATTTATCACTTGAAGTTGTATTGCTCCAATGGCACAGTGAGACCCACACTATAAGCTGCTGACCCAGTTTGCAGAAAAACTGTATTAAACCGAAGAGAGAGGTTCACTGGTACCTGGCCTACTTTGGGGAACACAAAGCACCCTCAGTAATCCAGTGACCTGGAAATGGTCCCCAATATTTTCAGTAAATACAGGAAACAAAAACTGAGAACAGGATTGACACTAATCTGTATTCCCCACTGGAGAGGAGATAGTCTCACGGGCTTATAGTAAAAATTTCCTTGAACTACAAGATTTATGCTCATTCCTCAAAATCACCTGTCAAATGAGGCTCAAAGAACCTGTGGTTTTGTTTGATTCTATACAATGGTGTGCAGAGGACAGGGTTCTGATGGGCTTCTGATCTGTACAGCCCTGAGAACAAGCTTTGGTCTCTGTAATTTGCTGTGACCTTGGTTTTGAGTTTGATGTGGTCAAGGCCTGCTACCTGTTCGGTTAACTATGCTCTTGTCAATTTGAATGCGTAAAGATGATCTCCAGTGATTCTTCTACTATGGGAGAGTTTTTGTTGTTTTGACGCCGCCTATTCCTGGCCAGCCTGACAACTGATGTGTCATTGTAAATTTATGATGTGGCAGTGGTCGGTAAAAGCCAACTGAACAAAAAGGGAAATCCTGTTCAGGAATGTGTACTAAATATGGTTTATGAAAAGTCAATGTGATAAAAAATAAAGAATTCTTCACTGAGATATTCACATGTAATCCAAGAATGATTCAGTCTCTGTGATAACCGACAAATATAGCTTTGATCATCTTTCAACTGTCTTTTCAAAAATTCCACTAGCTACACATTTTTTTAAAGATAAATTTTCAAAAAGTTCATAGAGCTTTCCAGGGTTGAGCCAAAAGGTCAATGAGTTGTCCCCATGAATGTGTAATGAAGGAGAGCTGTCAAACATGATACAACTGTTACAGAAAACATGCAGAAACTTTGGAGAGGCCAGCATTTATAAGGTGCGCCATTTGGCGCCTATGCTGGGAGCAAGGTTCGATGGGGTCAACAAGTGTTGGGTATATTTTGATATATAGTTATGACAGGAAATACACGATCAAAAAGATTTCCACAAATGTGGACTGTTTTGTAAGGAATAACTGGCCTGGAAATTTAGCCTGGCTTTGACCCCCTGTTGAGGCCTGTGGTGGTGATCCATGAAAAGACTTCACCTTATCCAGGGCTGGACCTTTCTGGGAATTAATTACCATGACACAATCTGTTACACAGCGGTTATTTCCTCTGAGGTCCTGTCCCATTCTCACACCATAGCACTGCATCCTGGGGTAAACTTAACCTTAATCTCTTAACAGCTAATGTGACTTTCAGCTTTTCATCCCGATTTCAATCCCAGATTGCTCTGCCTTTAATTTCTCAAACAATGTGTGTGTTTACTTCAGCATAGGTCAACCACCAGAGCTTCCAACTGGGGCAAATATCAATGGCCTAGCTGGACACTAGTTGAGAAAACTCACACTGAATGAACTAAACTAAATGATTGATCAGTAGACTCATCTTTCAGCAGAACTGAAATTCACAAATTGAAGCTGCTGTACATACTTGTACTAACTCCTTTCAACCAACAGCTGGCCCCAAAATTCACCAACAGTGTCTACATACATCAGAAGAAAAAGCAAATAAACAAAATAAAAAGCAAATAAACAAAAACAAATAATAAACAGTATCAATATTCAGGATTTCTCCAAATGTTCAAATTTAAAACATGAGTCATTCCCTTCAAAGTACCGGTACTGGTTAAGGAACAATGCATTTGTTCTGCTTGTGATCCAGTCAAGTCACAATTTAATCACAAAGCCAATTTTCCCAGGAGAGTACAGCAGGTTTCCACACCGACAAGCCAGGTTGATCAAGCACAGCCAATCAGCCAAATGAGCGGCATAAATCAGAAATTAAATTTGAGGCAATAGGCCAGAGGCCTGCAAGTGAAGGTCAAAATGGGTTATGACTCATGCTGGTAAAAACAAGATTAATATTCTATGGTGGGATGTGAACATTATTGGCTGAACAAAGGAAAGATAGGAATCTGTTTACATTACTCTCTGATAGGAAGTGATTACAATTATACCCAAACTTGAATTACTCTTATTTGTAGTTTAAATATGACTTTTAAAGATTTCAATCTCAGACATCCTCATCAATGTAGTAAGCCGTAAAGAAATAGGTATATTATTATTATATGTATGTGTAGGTATATTATATTTTCTTGAGACTTTAAACCAATGATTTACATGTCAATAGCTACACAAGTCCATCTGGTATATGTATACACGTAAGTAGAAACTTTCAATGGTTTTTGAATAGATTTTACTGTAATTTGACAGAAAATGTACAGTAAAAATTTATGTGATGGTTTACCTAAGTAATCCATTAAAAATGATGACACCTGATACCTAATTTAGGAGTCAGACACCTCACAGGTTCTGTTCAAATTATGTGACTGAAGCATTCCATGATTTGACCAAGGTCTACATGTTTATCAATTATCAATACTGCTTGGAGAACCCAAAACAAAATAAAAATGGCTGGCATCTGAACAACATTATGTATACACAGTGGGATAATTAGAAGGTGTTGAATGAGACACAGATATTACACTACATGGTATTTATTGCACTTGGGGGTTTCAATAAGCACAGCTGTCAGAGCAAAGATCCTGTTTGATGGATTGGAGTGACAGATTGCTGAAAAGGCTCACATGCAATATCCTGTGTATTTGCTGAACCCAACCAAAAAAATTACCTAGCAGGTTGCAACAAAGAAACCGAAATTCCACTAGGAAAGTGATTGTCAAAAATAACTTGTTAAAATATTTCTTATTGTATCAGACAACTGAGGAAAAAAACAAATGGTCTCATTAGTACAAGAGGGAAGCTATGCAGGATGAAACCAAAGTAGACTTGAGCCAAGTCATTACTTACCAGTGAGAGTATGGAACTATGGATAATGCAGTACTCTGGAGCTCAGTCCTACAGATGCATGTAATTTCTTACCTACATATTAGATACATGTACTTGCTGGTACCTGGAAAAATGGACCAGCAGTCCTTCAAATAAGTGAGACCCTTATGAGGAATTTATTTACACTAAAATGCAACCCCATTCAAAGTTTCTATCCATATATGTACCTACCTACGTGTAGTTACCATCTTTAGGGAGCAAGTCTGAGGCTGAAAAGCTGAACTTTTAAGTTTACCCACATTCAACTAATGGTTTAACACTATGACTGAAAACAATTCAAGTAGTTTTGAAGTAACCATTAAAAGGAGAGTTCTGCTTCTGATTGCATGGCTTTTAAATATAGTAGTCAGTAGGTCAGAACTGTTTAAGGTCCATTTTTTTTGCTGATGTAATGCAGTATTCAATTATGTATGAATTTCAACCTGGACTTTTGCACTACAAAATCTATTTTAAAATGTCCAAAAAGTAATAAAAGCTTGCCTTAATTAATGAAAAAAAAATTAAGGTTGATAATTCTCAAAAATAATGGAGAATTCAGGTTGTACCACTTTGCACAATGTTAGACATGATGGGAAACTAGCCAATTTGTACGTATATTGCGTGGAAAGTGTGCATGATGTACTAGAGGGGTAGAGAAAGGGGGGAGGTGCGATGAACCTCATGTTGAGGCAGAACATTTTGTGGAAATATGCTTCCTTCAAATTCAAATGGTACAACCTCAAAATGAATTACTGAACAATGAAAGTATATAAACATGAGAGATGAAGTATTGTGAATTAATTTGCAGAAATCTACTGTCTCCGTCGACGTTTTCAACATGCAAATGCACTGCAGTGTGTGAATGATAATAATGCTATTTGGCCAGGATGCATGAACTGCTTGCCATACGTCCATCATGCTGCCTTTGGCAGTTTTAGTGCACAGTGAGCCATTTTTTTCAACAACCGTTCCTCCACAATTGTTGAAAAAAGTACAAAATTTGTTTGCTTGAAAATAACTGCATTACAGGCAGAAAAATTCATAGATCGGTCAATGCTGTTTGTACTTACTGTCAAGTATGATAAATGTAAACATTATTTGGCAGTCTGGTTGAGATTTTACAAATAGTGTATATTACCTTTAACCATCTAAATTCCCTATAACTTCCGGGCCCCTTTCTGACCACACAGCTGTGGTTGAGTTCACTAGTTAATGCAATGTGCAAGGAGGTGTGACCAACCCACCTAGAGGTGCTAAGCAGGGGGGAGGAAGACATAATACAATTAACACCAGAGTGAATGCAACCTTTTCATTACCCTAATGATTGGCAGGACCCTTTCAAATTCACATGTGTCCAGCACACCAGGCAGGTTGGATCATGCTCAAGTCAACTCACAGTATCAAAGCAATCAGTGAGTGGTAATGATATTTCCTTCTTGTCACAGCCATCAATCACATAATCTAAAGTATTCAGAACATACTAGAGAAAAAGCCCAGGCTAGCAGAACCTTGGTAAGGCATAATTCTACACAATGTAAAAGCTGGACAGGAATGACAGATTTCTAGAGAAACTTAACATGCCAGTTGCTTTGGAACATAACCTCTCCCTCCCCTAAAATAAATAAAATAGAAATGTAAAGTAACTTACTAACTAACTGCAACAAAACTGAACTTCAACATATACTTTAAAGAGAAAACAATACTGCTTCTAATTTTTCCCCAAGTCTTGTACATGTATATATATTGCATTATGGTACATGTGTCTATTATGCGTCATCAAATACATGTATGCTATTAAAGGCAGTTTTCTGTCAGTTAAGCATACTGTGTTACACAAGCTTGCTGACAGTACTCCATTTTTAGCCAAACAGGAGATTTTTCCTTCACCCTCGGAGAATTCACGACCACACGGCCTAATACAAACCAGATTTGTGGGGAAAAGGGAAAATTTGTTGATTGTAAACAAAGCAACTTACCAAGGGAGAGGGTCTGTAGTCTCATCTTATGCAGCATCCATCGCCTGGTATTGCCATTTTCTGAACTAACTTGTATCTCTGGAGGTGAAACCTTCCTCCTTAAAAACACACCATCTGGAGATGTCGGGCTGGGAGTGGGTGAATTCATGGTGATACTCTGCTGTTTACTATAACTGCTGTCATGCCCACTGACATCACCAGAGAGTGTGGAGGAGGTAGCCATCACCACAGATTGGCAGAAGACAGGGGGTTAGATGGCCATTTACCACAGGAATTCCTTTGTGGAGCTGAAGCATGCGCCCAGGGAATTGTCAGTCTAGAATAGCCTCCTTATTGTTGCAGTGAAATTGTCATTAATGAGGTAGGGCTGATCTGATGCTGTACCATTAGCAAATTCACAGATGCAAGGTCAGTGCAGCATTGACAGACTTGTGAAGTCATTCACAGCGACTAATAAGCCTGGTGTGGTATAGCCATATACTCCAGAAGGCAAGGAGTTCATTCTGCTCTATGCTTGACTGATGATAACGAACTGGCTCCAGGGAATGGCAGTAATGGATGACGTTATTGGACATTACACATAGAACTATTTAAATACTTGACACATGGGAGACCAAGTCTATTTTGCTGTTCATAATCTTGCTTGTCTTGCACCAAGTGGAACTGAAGGTTGCATTCTGTCAAGTGATAGCTTGATATCAAAAACCTGCTCCATGTCTCAGTCAATTCCATTTATAACTCTAGTATGAGTGGAATGCTGTTACATAACAATAAAGGCGAAATGTGACCACTGTGTCTTAAGTACAATGTTATACATGTATTCTCTTAACCTCAAAAGACTCACTTTGTAGACTTCACAAACTACACACAGCCAAAGATACAGGTGTAATTCCTTTTCCACCTGTCAGCACAACATTGGTTTTTATGTCCTACGGGAGATGGATCTTTGGTGTAATGGCCTGAAAGCAAGCAATCTGATGTACATGTATGTCATCATTCAAGATGTATCAATCATTGAGCACTGCAGTCCAAAGAACTGGCCCGCTGTTGCAATCACAAGAAACTCCCAGCAAAAATGTCCATCCACATACTAGTAATGTTACATGTGTTTCAAGAAGCAGCTTCAGCTAGAAAGCCCCACAGACATCAGACACCCTCTCCACACAGTTGAATGACAAGCCAAAGTACTGGGTGGCAGCAGAGGATCAGAGCACTTTGTAGTCTGGTTTCGTGACAGGAGTCAGCTGTGCTTAATTCAATGTCAAGAAATGTTGTGAATATCCTGTTAGCTCACCTGATTTCTCCTGCAGTTACAACACATCAGAACAAATCACTTCTGCAGGACATGAACACATCCTTAATGTAACATCATCACAATGAAGTCCACTCCAGATGAGCTGTTTCCAACATGATTACACTGCTCAGACTCCTCTGCATGGATTTCACAAATGTAATTGGCCCTTTGTAAACAATGCCAGTCCATGCTCCTCCACCTTGCACAATCTCATCAATCTATTCGTTTTCTCCAAGTGAACAACTTTCATCATAAATCGTGTTAGGCATTGGTACCACATACAAACTTTGATGGAACCCTCATTCCCATAAAACAACATGGGTCTGAATTTAAAAACAGAAATCACAGTGGCCAGGAGTTGGACATTCTGTGCAAAGAGGGATTTCCACTGTGTACTCATCCACACTTTGACATGTAAATACTTGCAGCCTGAGGGGATGAAGCTGCCAAGGGCCACAGAGAACAAGCGTTATGGTCTTCCCTTGCTTCATCTGCCTCTCATAATGGTCTCAAGAGATTGGTCCATGCCCAAAGCCCTGTTGAGGGTATTTTCACACAAGGGTGAGCAAACTGTATAAGGTACAGAAACACAGTGGGTGCTGGGGTTTGGCGACCATGAGGGAATTATTCAAAGCAGACCTTTTATGCAGGGGATGAAGAGGGTCTCCATACAATCACTGGTGGCAGTTTTTGTTGTTAGTTGGGACTGATCAGTGGGGACAAAATTTCCAAGGGATACCAAAACCCTCAGCTGTGTACCAAAGGCTGACAGAGTCACTTCTTTATTAACACTCTGTCATGAGCTGTGCTTCTAAAATACAGGTACTAGTGATACAAGTACATGTGATATATAGGCCAACACGTACATTTTGGACCGATAGCATATCATTTGATGTTCATCTTCATTTCACGTACCTTATCTAAGTTAGTGTAGGTCTACATTCCTTACGAGCCACAGGCATGTTCACCAAGAAAGATTGACAAGGAGACTAAAATGACTAACACGCGTTCTATTTCACATTACATGTGCAATGTAATGTAGAAATCTGGTAGGCAAAATTGGTATAGATACAACAAATGCAATGAGGACTCAGATACCACCATGCAGCATGTAAAATAGTGTAAAGTAATATTTCTAGACACTGGCTGTGAATACTCCATCACACAAGTTTGATTTCAGAATTTCGGATAAAATATCATCTTAAAAGTGATTGATGGCACTGCCAGTCAGGCAATAACAGTAACACACAGAAAAACATTTTGCAACACTTTAAGGACTGAGATGTATTTTGCATCTAAGCTTTCATCACATAGGCTACTTCATCAGATTTGACAACATTACTGTTGTAAAGAAAGCTTATAGCATGCAAAATCATCGTTTCATAAGTCCTGCTACAAAACCCCTTTTCTATGTAGAAAGCCAAAAGTCAGATTTAGACAAACCTTCAGTGTGTCACAGAAAGGAAATAACCTTGAGAGAAATGCGGTGCTGTGACAAATTAAAAAAACTATAAGCTTCTGAATGTCTGGAAGATATGCCATGGGATAAATAGCATCACAAAAGTAAGAGAGTTAATCAAATATACATAGTAGCATGGAACAACCTTAGCTGTGTTAACCTTCTGTTTGTTTCCACAAACATTTGAACATTCACATGGAGTTTATACAATTTATATGCACTTTTGGCCCCTTGAAAAAATGCCTTGTAGGACGTTGGGTGTTACCATGTAAAATTCATTTGTTTTATTGCTACAAAGTTCCGATGGCAAATAAGCACAGAAAGCTACTTCATAATAAAAAGCTACATCTCTTCAGGTCAATGTCATTTTTCACAGCCTAGAGGTGTCATATTCTTGACACCTCTTCCAATGTCATATTAAAAATTGTGTTAAAAACTACGAAGGACACCATTCCGGTGGTGTAAGGACCCATATATTCCTCTCCTCAGCTGTCTAAGTTTGGTCTGTTAGGGTATTTATGTAACTTATTTTGCGTGGTAGTTTATTCATTGTGTACCAGGTAAGTTAAAACATGTTCACAGATGATTAAAAACTAGCATCACATTTTTAGTCTAGTAAGTATAAAATGTGCATGTGTCTCCACCCAGTACATTGCATGCACAAATTGAAAAGGACTGGTAGCCTACGTATTGGGTTAAACTGAATAAACTTGAAATATAAATGCAAGCAAGGGTCAGTTTTGTCCACATAATATTTGTGGCTCATCACTGTGAGGGAGGGGAGGAGGGAGGAGATCGTTATCTTTGGCACAACTTACGCTAATCCACCGCTTTTGGGAGTCCAAGTTGTGCCAACTTCATGCCTTAACTTACGCGACCTTGGGTGGATTAGAGCATTCAATCAGAGGGGTAATTTAATATTTTTGGATCAACCACTATTTGGCAACTTGTCTGAACGTACCCTACATGTATATTGACCAGGCCAACTGAACTGAAACTTGTCAAGAAAGCTACTAAGAATGACTGTTTGCTTTAGCAAAAGGAAAATTGGATTCTCCATATTCTTTTTTGAATTGAATTTTTGAGCTATCACGACAGATTTTCTTTGCAGCCTCCTGGCCCAGCTTGACAGCAAATATGGTTCCACTGGAGGGTAAATGCACTTGCACTCTGAGTTTACCCACAGAGAAAGGTGGCAAATTGTAAATGGCAAGGTGCCATGCAATGTCAGTGTTAATCTGCGTACATAATGCCCCACCATTCAACTGGCCCAATGAACCAATCGACCACTCATAACACCCATTAATAATTGATGACTTATGGATTGGTGGGTATCAAGCATTAGAGCAAGAAGTTGAATGCACCATAAGGTGTGTGTGGATGCTTAGCTACAGGCGGAAGCATCGAAAAGGAGAACAAAATCGTGCAAAGTTCTAGGCCAGCACCAAGAGTGATGGTTACACCATCAGCAGCTGATGTCACAAAATTTAATTTTGGTGGTGCAACATCACTTATGCCACATTTTATTGCCTACGTTGCGCAACAAATTCAGGGCAATTTCACAAAACTTATGCAATGCAGAAGTCTGTGACTTGCGCAAGAAATTATAGGGTAACTAACTTGCACTGTAATTTTAGGTAGGGTAAGTTGAGCTGAACAAAGTTGAAAGGAACGATTTGACAACCTCATCATATTCTGTTAAGGCTAATCATTGCTGAACTTAACAAGGCTTACACAAGAAATTTACAATTTTGTTTTAGAAAGGTAATGAAAAACTTGTTTGACTGTCAATAGAGAACTGTGAGAATTTCTTTCTGCTGCAGTTTAACTCCAATTACCGGTCAATAGTTTACTACAGGTATTAACTGTAATATGGTTTTAACCAGGATATGATGAAAACTTTTTCAAAATGGTGGACAGAGGTACATAAGCAAGGCTTATGTATGGCTCAAAGTTTTAGCATGTTTCATGAAATTGGCTGCAGTTGAACTTTAATGGGAGACTTTGAGACACTTGGTGGCAGCAGGCACAATGGTCCCTTTTGGTTGATGTGGGCATGCACATGCCATTCTAGGTATGCATATTAGTTCCAAGCACGCGCAAAACCAGTTTGTCTGCCGGCACCATGCGGCTCCAAGTCTCCCATTACCGTTCAATAGTTTACTACAGGTATTAGCTGTAATATGGCATGTATCAATTCAAACAAATCCAAAACAAAACCAAACACACTTTTTGCAACTTGAGCTAGAACAAGAGCAAAATATCCCAAGAATAACACTAGTTTCATGAAATCCAGCATCAACATCTTCATCTGGGAATGATTTCAATTTCGGTGGATGCATGAAACCATATCAAACTCAAGAAAGGTGAGCAAAAATAAATACCTGAGTAAAAGGCCAGTTACACATAACTAGCAATATCAATAATGTGTTGTCAAATGTGTTGTTCGTGTGACCAAACCTAATTGAATAGAAATGTAACAGATACTAACCAAATCTGTAACAAACAGATCTGAATTCTTGAAACCTAACATAATCCAACACAATTTCTGAGAAAAACTAACTCCATGGATCAATGTACCTGAAAATGTCACCTTTACTGCAAGAATAAAAAAATTAAATGAAGCTATTCTCAAAAGAATTAACTTTGAAACTATTGATTGGACTGACCCGCAACACCCTGTGTACCTGTGAGATTGCAATAGCCTTTTTACACTTTATTGGTATGTGATTCCGCTTGTATTTTGAGCAGGCTGAAGTCAGATCTAACCCTGGCAACTGGAACATGGAAAAGCATATTTTGTACACTGTTTGTATGTAGTTCAGCTGTCCAGCACCCAGTAGGTAGAGTGTACAGTACATGTACATCCGGCCTGAGCACAACAGCATGCTTCGTGCAGGAAAACTACACATACGCATTGCATGTTTCACCACGGTGTAGCATGTGGGCAATATTTCCAGTCAATTTTTCCCTCTTTTGGTTGCAATCATAGCAGATACATGTATATATATTTTTTTACACTATTGGAAGATTAACTGGTGTAAAGGGTGCACCATTTCCAGATGATAACGAGGATGGTAAAGGATGCAAACAAACACAGAAAGGTCACGCAAAGCACCCTAATGAGTCACTGCATTGCCAGCTCGGTTACTTCTCTGCACAATGGTCACATTTGACTATAAATTATGTGCTTATTGGCTGGTAAAATCCACGGAATAAAAAGTCCAGGGCAAACACGGGTTTAAATCTTTTCCAGTGGCGTTGGAAAGCAATGACTACAGCAAGGGCTGAATTGTGTAGGTACGAGGTACATATGTTGAACACTATGACCAATGTAGAAGTTATGTTCAATAATTGCTGTACATAATGCAAAAGGAGTTCAACCAGCAGATAGGTTGGTACCAGCATATTAGTCATTGTGTGGACCTCTGAAGTTAGAACAAAACATGTTCACACAAAATGGGTAGTGGACACCTTAGGCCCTTTCACATGAATGATGGAAACAAACATCTGTGATGTTTTGCACAAAGTGTCTGTCACAAGGGTCACCTACGATTTTACACAAGCATTTACACCGTGCAATGCAGCATGTTGGCAAACGTCCCTCATTTTGCAGCATTAAAGTATTCTATCGCTGGTATTGTGATGTTCATTAAACGGTGGAATCATAGTGTACCAATGTTTTTCCTGCCATATACGCACATGCTTTTATGCAAGTTTCCAAAAATATTTTTGTACAAATTCAGCCACAAGAAAACATTATTCACCTGTTGGAAACTGCCCTTATCTCGATTTCACCAGCATGATTGTCTCTGCCAGTTAGTAACAGCCTTGTTACCAGCACCAGTGTAGCACTTCATTTTATGTGTCCAATTTACAAAAAGAAAAATCAAAATGCAGCGAAGAAACTTTTTTTCTAATACAAGACTCTGAAGGAATTTTTTCAAAGGGAATTTTGAAAAATTTATAAAGTGAAAAATTCATTTTTGTGGCATTCATGGCTCCGGAAGATAAAGCACAACAAATTA